GTTGCAAAGTACCATCGCGTGATGTGTTTCTTTTGTGTTGTGAAGTCAAGACCTCATGTTGTTATAAAACATGTAATGAATTTATTGTATGCTGTGTGCTTTCCACAACTCTTTGCTCTTCTAATATTTCACTTTATTCTTTTAGCTGACAAAATATCAGTGATTTTGTATAGTGAGATCTTCTCATTTTTTCAGGGGAAGGTATAGTTTGTAGTTCTGAGAATCTTGAGAAGAAAAATTGAGCGACTTTTTGAATTATAATTTTCTAACTACGAATCTGCTTCTCGAAAATGATTCCTTTTGCAGTTTTTGTTTAGTCTAGTCTGATCATCTATACAATCTGCTAGTTCAGATACCTGGTAGTTATTCTAGACAATTATTTTGACATGGTCACCTTTTGTCCAGTTAATCTATTTGACTGATGCTTTGTTAGCTGAGTACTACTATAACACATCTGTCAGAAGACACAATGTAAAGAACGCGAATCAAAGTAGTACAGATGTCTGAACTGTTCTTTCCTGACCTAGACCTAAGGGAGCAATGGGTTGTTTCTTGTTTTCATTTGAACTCATTTAAATGTTTTTGTAAAGTGCATGTTTTTTCTAAGGTGTACTCATTATAGGCTATTTCCATCATAAGTACTAAGTGCAGTAAATGAATCAGGAATTATTTCGGCCTTCTTCTGTGAATGAATATGGGAAATATCGTAATTATGAAACACGGGACACATTTTTATTTCTCAGTGTATCAGTTGGTCTTGTTATTTTCACTTAAGTGATGCCTTCATGCCATGTTTAAACGTATGTTTAAAAGAAGTTCCTTCACAAATGGCTGCATGTTGCATACTTTATGTTTATGCTCCAGCGTACTGTCTCATCAGTTCACAGAATTCTACACTTATAGAACGGGAACTGTACCACGTGACCTGTGAGGAATTGAAGACCGAAAACAATGGCGTCGTGAGGGCACTATTTATCGTTTTCGGAAGTAACCCTATAGCTTTTAAAGCAAGAGCGGCTTTTACAAACGAGTGAAAAGTGGAACATTTACTGTCCAGTTTGTAATTTTGAGTTACAGAATTCACTGTGCAACTAGAGATTGGAATTAAGGTTTTAAATTGTTGTGTTTTGAAGTGCAACAACAGAAAAAGCAGACATACAGAGTTTATATAGATATATATAAGATCTACAGAACTGAAAAAAATTCATAGCACTTCTAGCTTCCCACACACATTTTGCATACGCATATGGCCTACGTACTTTTTTAGTAGTAAAACTTATTACAAGAAATTTGTTTTACACTGAACATATTTTTTCACTAGATCTTATTAATGTTCTCAAAACATGCGTTCAATAATTAACTTTATGTCGCCAGCAGAAGTAGAAAAAAGGACGGACTTGCTTTTAAAAGAGATTTAGCTCCAGCTATAAACTTTTTAAAAATCTGTAGAAACCATTGACTGGGATTTTTTTTATATATATTGGGCTAGTATTTATTAAAGAATTTTCTTTAAAGAAATTTCTAGAATAATATAGAACCTATAGATGTGTACAAATGTTTGAAAAAAATACTCATCGGTTAAGACGAATTGATATAGATCTAAGTCATTGTGTAAAAGTAGGAGAATCTAGATCTAGGTGTTTGATAGTTCAGTAGCCTAGATATTTGATAATAAGTTGCGCATCAAATTTTTGACCGCATGCTACAGTAGTGAAGATAGCGTATTATTTTCATCCGAAACATTAATTTCCGCATCCATACACCTTTTTGAGCCTTTATAAGCACATGTAGTCCTACTTTAATTATGTTTTTGTTTTTGAAAGCATTTTCAATTCCTTTCACTTTCACTTCCCACGCGCGGCACATATAATTATGATTATAATTTAAGATTCCAAATCTGACGAATGTATTATTAAATAGCGTATAATGCTGAGTTAGCCAATGCATTGCAATGCGCACTATTATCAATTGATCGAATTGTAACAAGACTTCAATTTGATCCGTAACAAGAGACCACTTATTTTTTTATACGTGTTCATGAATGTGTGTTTGTTTACTGTGTGCGGGGATTAAAAATTAAAGATTAAAGATTCCAGATCTGACGAATGTATTTATAAAATAGCGTAATAGTGCTGGGTTAGCCGATGCCTTGCGATACTTGCTTTTATCAATTAATTGATTTGTAACAGGACTTCGATTTGATCCGTAACAAGACAACACTTATTTGTTCTTATACGTGTTTAAAAATGTGTGTTTGTTTACTGTGTGCGGGCATTAAAGATTCCAGGTCTGACGAATGTATTTATTAAATAGCATATAGGCCTATAGGGCAGGGGTGGCCAACGCATTGCGATACGCACTTTTATCAATTGATCGAATTGTAACAAGACTTCAATTTGATCCGTAACAAGAGGCCACTTATTTTTTATACGTGTTCATGAATGTGTGTTTGTTTACTGTGTGCGGGGATTAAAGATTAAAGATTCCAGATCTGACGAATGTATTTATAAAATAGCGTAATAGTGCTGGGTGAGCCGATGCCTTGCGATACTTGCTTTTATCAATTAATTGATTTGTAACAGGACTTCGATTTGATCCGTAACAAGACAACACTTATTTTTTCTTATACGTGTTTAAAAATGTGTGTTTGTTTACTGTGTGCGGGCATTAAAGATTCCAGGTCTGACGAATGTATTTATTAAATAGCATATAGGCCTATAGGGCAGGGGTGTCCAACGCATTGCGATACGCACTTTTATCAATTGATCGAATTGTAACAAGACTTCAATTTGATCCGTAACAAGAGGCCACTTATTTTTTATACGTGTTCATGAATGTGTGTTTGTTTACTGTGTGCGGGGATTAAAGATTAAAGATTCCAGATCTGACGAATGTATTTATAAAATAGCGTAATAGTGCTGGGTGAGCCGATGCCTTGCGATACTTGCTTTTATCAATTAATTGATTTGTAACAGGACTTCGATTTGATCCGTAACAAGACAACACTTATTTTTTCTTATACGTGTTTAAAAATGTGTGTTTGTTTACTGTGTGCGGGCATTAAAGATTCCAGGTCTGACGAATGTATTTATTAAATAGCATATAGGCCTATAGGGCAGGGGTGTCCAACGCATTGCGATACGCACTTTTATCAATTAATCGAATTGAAACAGGACTTCAATTTGATCCGTAACAACAGACCACTTATTTTTTCTTGTTCGTGTTCCAAAATATGTGTTTGTTTACTGTGTGCGGGGATTACAGGGGGACAAGCCCATCCCCTCGACATGTGATCCAGAGTATGGGGATACATTTTTCTCAAAATGCACACAGCTCTGAAATCCTTGACCAGTGATCACTCGCCATGGAACTCTTTCTGTTGTGACTGTAGACACAAGTTTCTTCATTATCACATCTGAATGAGCCTCTCATTCATGCATTAGAAATCACACTCCCAACACACAGAAAATGACTTTGAACATATATTCAGGAAACATATGCCAGTTCCACTCTTGTTTACTTTGTTTTGCATTATTGGCTTTTATGTGTAAAACAATATTTAGAGGCCTTTTCTGCATTTTTGTGTTTTTGGCAGCATGTACAATAGGCCTATGTATTTTATGTGCAACCGACACATTCTCCAATCGTAGATCTAGTACTAATCAAGACTATATCTAGATACTTTTCCAACAGAGTTAATGTTCATAATTAGTGTTATTATCAAGTGTATTGTGATTGTGAAGATCTTTAGTAGATCTAGATCTAGTAGTAGATCTAGAGATTTAGATCTATCTAGATCTAGATCCCATCCCATCCCATCATTAAAAAAACAACAACAAACCAACAATACAGATACAAAAACATTGTAACATTGCCAATTATGACATATTGTTGGCAGTAAAAATGTACTAGACTATTTCACTATATTTCCTCTTCGAAGAAAGTTTTAAAATACTGATGTAACTTAATGTAAGGTGTCTTCCAAGCCCTACCACTAGCATCAGCGTGCATAGCAACGCGAAGCCTCGCTGTGCGGCGCAGCCAAAGGTGCCCTCAACTGGCCGCCATGTTTTAGTTTCAATTCCTCACAGCGAATCGGCGATCGCGAAGAGGGAGTTCCGCTTCTATAAGTGTAGAATTCTGTGCATCAGTTAGATTAGCAGCAATTTTGTTTTTTGTTTGTCGCTAGCAAAGCATGGATTCTGTTTATCAGGTAGTTTGGGGGTTTTTTTTAAGAGACAAGTACAGGGAATGATTTCCTCTTTCTTCTCAACATCTGTATCCTTGGGGTTTTTTCCCCTTCTATTCTTCGTTCACCTATGTCCTTGTTTCCATGTCTCATATTTTCAGTGTTTGTGCCTATCTGTACTTCTTTCCAATAGAGGCTTCCTTCTGCTGTTTTTCTTACCTCCTTGTTCTTATGACAAGTTTGGTTATTCTCTTCAGGGGAGGTTGGGGTGACATATTGTCTTTATCAAATTGTATTGTCTCAAGTCTTCAATTTTGAGGTTATGATTTTTCATCCCATTTCTTTTCTCACTCATTCCTCTGGTTGAAGAACAGCCTTGTTTGTCCATCCCATCATCATTTTATCCCACCTACAAATCACCATCTAACTTGTTCTTAATTGTAAATGGGCTGATTTATCGATGTCATGCTCAAACTGTGCAGGGACAACATAGGGGGAAACTGCTCCTTTTTCTTTTCCTCATCCTTACTGTCGTCATTTTTCCTCTACTCCTTTTGTATGTTTGCCATTCTCTCGTGAACTGCTATATCTGGGGTGCCTTGATAGTCAAAGCAGACTTTGTGCTGGTGAGGCTAGAGAGGTGAGCAGAGTAAGCCTGATTCCCGGTTTGGACTTCTCTGTTGACATCCACCCCTTGGCGCTCATATGACCTTATGCTGTTGCAAGCGCCGTAAAACCTTACTAAAACTAAAACTAACTCGTTCTTATTTCTCCTCCCCCTCCTACCACCCCCTTCCTTTTCCCCATGTTGACAGAAAAGCGAAGAAACACACTTCTAAACGAAACGGAAGCAAACCACAGCTCGGCGGAGTGGAGGAAGAGTCGGAGGACCCGGGCGCCAACGGTCAAGCCTCGTCCCCATCAAAGAAGAAGGCACCAGTCAAGTTCTACATCGATGACCACGAGGACCATGAGGAGAAAGAGACGCTGATCAAGATGCCGGAGATTGTGGTGGACCCTCCCAGTGAGCACGCGACCACTCCCGACCGCGAGAATGACAGTAAGGTGTGAGTGGGAGACACTGGATGGACGACTGAGCCGGCTGGAAGGCTGCTGATCTGGACTGGGTTTGCGCACTGTGTGTATGTGCATAGTTAGATTAATAGCTCCTGGCTAAGACGTCTCTCTTGGTGCTGGTAAATGGTTTTCTGGGCTGCACCTTACCTGTCATCGTGCATTGTCATGTGAAGCGAAAGTCACAAATATACTATTTTCCTCATCCTTATTTTGATTGGAGAGGCGGTGGGGGAGGGTAGAAAAGGGGAGGAGGGGTAATCAGCTGTATGGATCATTTGTGTAACTTTCTTTATAAGAGATTAATGTTTAATATCATTGTTGTCCCATTTCTGAGAATAACTCCCATGACTCTGACGTGGAAAAAAATAGGTTATATCCCCTGTCTGTATCCTGGCTCCAAGCCGGATGAATGAATATATTTTTTTCCTCAAACCTCGTCCTATGGCTCTTCCATAGCTCTGGAAGTGTTTATTGCAGTATGCTATGCACTGTTTGGGGGAAACTGTATTTCCTCGAGTCAAACTTTTTGGATAAAGTGAGTTTCTGCCATGGAGTCCTTTGTCCTCTATCACATATTTTAATTTATCAACTATTATAGGTCCCTGAAAAAAATTTGTCTGGTCAGAGCTTTAGGGCTGGTGCTAAAGAATTGATGCACTGTTGGCTTGTCAGTTTTACTGACTTGAATCGGTGCAAACCTGCCCTCCTTTGTATTTTATGCATCTTCCTTCAAGACTTTTGAGCTCCTCATTTTCTTAGATCCTGACAGGGCTTGTTCTCAGAGCTGCATATCATTTTCAGTTACCTCTCAAGTATTCTCTCTTCCCCTTGCACATAGATTGCTTGGCCAAATAGAAATTATTATTTTTTATTTTTTTTTGATAATTGAAAGAAATCCAAATTGAACATGAGACCTTAACTGTAATTATTCTGACCAAATCCAAAGTGAACTGTAGTGGGAGTTTTGTGTTGTAAGATACTACAGAAGGATCCCTCGTCCTTCCGGACTGACCACATTGACCTGTGCCTGCTGATTTTTTACTCTTTTTAATTATATTTTCATTGAATGCATCTTCTTTTTAAAGGAAAAGAATCATTCTAGGTTGCTTTGAAAACCTCAAATCCCCTTGGGTTTCACAGCATGTGTTTACTGATAAATAGAATTATATTATTGACATTTCTTAGAGGCAAATGTTAGTGTCAGATCATCATGTGAAATTTCCTGGTATTCTTAAAGAGCTTTCGAGAACTAGCCTCCTGAAAATATATATCACAAAGATGTATCAGGAGTTCTTTATTTGTGGGAGTGAAGAGGGGCTGAGCCAAAAACTAAATCTGGTGAATGTTATAGACCTACTGTTCAATAATGAATGTCACGGTTTTTAAACGACCGTTGCCTTACAGCTAGAGTTGGAGGACTGTAATGTTCATTAGTGAACCACCAATTACTGCTTAAGTTACTATGCCAAAGGTGCTGAGGATCAGGGGAAAGGGTGGGAAGAGGATCTTTTATTCCATTTATCCATCTTTGACATGTTCTTGTATTTGTAGGCCCTATTTTTTATGTATTTTTTCAATACCCCAGAATAATCTCACATTATTGGTAGAATCAGTTTTCTATATAATGTCTATTGCCTCTGAAAAAAAAATGATTTAAAAAATGCTTTGGTGTGGGCTAGTTGCTCTTGCAATAGGAGTAAGATGGAATGAGCCCACAAAAACTCTGAATCACGAGACTGAAAGAACTCAGCTTCTCAGCTTTTTCAACAGGCTTACTATTAGGTGACTTTTCTACAACTGTAGCATGAGTAAAGGTTGAAAAACAAAAAAAACAGTCTGTTGAAATTGTTGTGCTAGTGATTCAGGGTTGGGGAAGTTCCTCATCAGGAAAACCTGTCATTGCTGATAACTGTCTATTTGATTTGTTTCTGGTGTATTTTAAGGGTTTCTTTGGTCCTACGGAAGGTAACACATGCTTAAAGAAATAACTCTCTTTATGAATGGTTTGTGTATGCCTTTCTCTTGTGGCCATTGTTTTTTGTCGAATCACGTCAGGCCATAGCATTGACTTTGAGAGCTTCAGATTTATATGATTCGTTTCTTTTTTGAAATACCAAACCAATTATTTTCAATGAAGGACATAAAAGATCCAAGTGGTTCAAAGTGGGTGATGGATACTTTTTGGTGGAAACAGCTGCTCCTTATGAAGGGTCAGTATTGGTTTAAATGGTTTCGTATTTATACATATCAAATTCACTTACTCTGAGGAGATGGACTGAAGGGATAGAGAAGAAGGGGAGAAATCATGCAAGAGATGTGGAGGGGAAGGAGTGGGGCTCTCCTATGTATTTTGCCCATCCAGCTTTTTGCCATCTAATGATGTAAATATTTGAAAATGCTATATTTCATGGGTATCTGCTTGTGCATTTGTGCATATATATGTGTGTGTGAGAATGCTTCTTTCATTCACATGTGGCTTTCTATTTTGGGATGTCAAGAGAATGAAGTCATAAAGAAGATACATTACTGTACATAATCTACATACATTGAAAACATATAATATATTTACTTGTCTTGTATCAGCATAGTAACTGAGTGATTTATTTTTACTACAGTTAGGACTTATTTCAATGTTTTCACATATCTGAATTTTCACCATGTTAAGAGTTAGACTTTAACTTAAATGCTTTGATTTTGCTGACTCATCTCAATGCTGAGAGTACAGCAGTATTTTATCCAAATGTTGGGATACTATGTAGATTTTTCCTTTGGCCTAGAGTTCTGGGAGACTACCTTGAGACACGTTAGCTATATATACAAGCTTTGTTACCGCTAACCCCGCAGCCCCCCCCCCACCAACCCAGATTTATCAGGCTGTAGTCAGGTACCACCAGAGGAGTGTTGTGTCATAAGGCACCGGTGGCTTCATCTGGCATCACCCAGTCGAGGGGTGGGGGGCTAAGTTATCAAAAAGAACTTGTCTTTGTACAGACAAGAATTTCTATTGCATCAATCTCTAAGAAGGTTTCTCTGTGTGAAACAAACGTGCCGTTGTTGAAACCACGCGATTGATTCCTGGTTCTCCTACTACCAGGCCACACTAATGTTGAATGTACGTCGTTCCCGCGCAGGAGAACAGCCTGTCACACGTACACCGAGAGAGAGAGAGAGAGAGAGAAACAGAGAGAGAGGAGGTTATGCGAGATTATTCACAATAAGATGAATGCATTTACTATGTGCTATATATGAATTGATGCCGATAATCATACTACTGATGTGATACAGACTACTAATGACCTGGTTTGTGTGTGGTGATGACATGAAGTAATGACCATGAGAACTTTCACTATTTATTACTGCTGCCCCATGGAGGAGCGGTGCTGATTATGATGTCGTGTATATTTTATTGGACTGAAGAACTTCATGGGGTTATGATTTGTTGTTTTTATTTACCCAAGGTAATACCATACTAGTGTTGCTAGTTAGAGGATTGTGCATTTACTTATCCTGTTCTGGTCCATACCGCTCAGAGTCATCACAGAGTTCTGTCACATTTTTCCCCCTGTCACTTTACATGTGTGTGATGTCATTGATTCATGTGCTCTCGTCTGAGGGGCTGTGTGATGTCATTGATTCATGTACTCTCGTCTGAGGCGCTGTGTGATGTCATTGATTCATGTGCTCTCGTCTAAGGAGCTGTGGCACTGTCCACTCAACTCAAAACAAGCGAAACTGGCAATAGAGCCTAGTTTGCCTTGTTCTTGTCATTCACCATCTGGCTCACGAACCATGGCAAGCACAACACACAGTCAAATGGTTCAGGGGGGGGAAAGTTTTAAGGTTTGGGTATTTGGGGCAACTTGTGGAAATAAAAAAGGGACTTTGAAAAAATATGTCAAATAATTTAGAAAAGATAAAATATGAAAAACTTTGTTCTTGTAGTAATATATCTCACTGTTGCTGACTGTGACAAGTTGAGAAGAGTGCTCTTATGACAGAAATTATACAAAATTAAAATGTACCCACAATAACATTTCATGTAAATTTTATGGTAACGTTTATCGTTTATCTTGAATGAGATGATAAGAGTGGTCCTTTTATCATGTTAATGTCAAAAGTGTCGTTGTGTCAAGTTGTGTCAACTTCCAACATTGTTATCCTTGTTGCTGACTGGTGCATTCTGTCTTTCCCCCCCGCTCTGTGGGTGGCTGGTATATTGTATTGGTAACCCAAACACAAATGACTTAATCTTACAACAAGGTAGCGCTAGGTCTGTCCGTTGTCTTTGTGCTGTTGTGGGTGTGTGTGAGTTGCTTCGAGACTTAACTTTGAAATGGAGATACTGGCCTGGACTGATCCGTTTCTCCATCTGTCTAATGTTCAAGGCAGATTATGTCGCTCCAACTTCTGTGGTTTGATAGTTAGGCTGTTTGCCTAACACGCAAAGAGTGTGAGTGTTAGGTCAATCCCATTTGGGAAATATGTTTGATCCCTCCTTTTACTGGTGCTGGAATGTATCCCTCACACCTCTAACAAAAGGGGTCATGAAAAATTGCCTGCTAAGCTAAATAATTGAATTTCTAATGATGGGAATGTGAAACTTTTACTGCTAAGTCTTCTCACGAACAGTTGAGAGACAGTGGGTAATGATAAATCTCAAGAATTTTGTTTTGTCATGGACTCTGGTGTCTGACATTTTTCCCACTCATGATTCACTCATCAAAGCCCGGCACAAACACTTTACACCCACTCTTCTTTAACGTAGAACTTTGCCATATGTGTCACAACACAGTGGAATCGGGCGCTCGTTAATTTTATTTTGGGCATATGCAGTTATTGGTATCATCTTAAAGGTTGTTCATTTGTCTTGCTTTCAATTTTAAAAAATATCAATATCTATATAGAAGTCGAGATATTTGCGATTGAAGAAAATGGGGTCACTTGGTTTCAGAGGTGAAATTAGAGAGAAAATGGGTGCCAAAGTTTGGGGACTTCCATAACTTAAGAGTCCTTGAAAACTGCAAATTTAAATTTGTTGTGCCTTTAATCAACATTTTTCCATAAAAATCTACACATAAAAGTGTTTTTGAATCAACATACAAGGTGATGAGCCAAAAAACAAAAATTAGCAAAAAAATTCCAAACTGGCAGAAAAAATGCCGATTTTTTAAATTTCATTATTGCGAAGAGCGTCTGATTTCACTGCGATGCCTCATATACTATTATGTCTGCTGGTTTCCTCATGACTAAATTCACAGAGCTCGAGATTGCACCAAGCTCATAGAAATGATTTGTCATTGTTCAAATGATTGAGCATGTCCCCACCCTGGGACTTGCTAGTTGTTTCTGGGTCTCCCCCCTCAGTATTTGTGTGTTGTCACAGAACCTCATATCAGTCTCTGACTTTGCTAGGTTTGTCTACAAAAGTAAAAGGTGAACAGATCTTCAGAGACAGCCTTGGGACAACCCAAGAGCGAAGGCCACATCAAGGTTTTAGATGAGACAATCAGTTTACGGGAAAAGAGAATTTGTTGTTGTTTTTTGTCTAGGCCTAAAGGCCATGCCATGTAATCAGTCAGACACAGTCATTTTAAAATACTTTTTTTTTATCTGTCACAATAGCGATCGAAATGTTTAACTGCTTGTTCCTTTTCAGCCTTTTGGTTTGTGTGTGTGTCAAACAGTAGATTTTTATGCAGTTTGTTGCAAAAAAAAAAGGTCGTAAGACATTCTTTACTCTGTTATCAAATGATGTACATAGCATTATCATTACAAGATGTCATTGACATGGTTGTAACAATTGTGTAGCAATGTCCTCATCATCCTATCAGAAGAATCCATAGACACAGGCATTGTATAGTATGTACAAATATTTTCTGTGTGATTTTTTTAGAATAGTAAACATTGGGGGACTTTTTCCCAGCACTTCAACATTTGATGCCTCATTTCATAGTTGTTTGGAAAAAATATCATCCAGAATAGGTAATTTTCAGAAGCATGTTATGTGGTAATTAAAAGCAATGAAAAAACAGTTGTTGAAATTGTGTCACGTGAAATCTTAAGACAGTTTGAGATGTGACTGAGTTGGATTTTTGTAATCCATATTTTCTAGCAGGCATTTCCAAGTGCCCTGTGAAGTGTCTCATGCTTTCCTATGTTGATAGGAGGTTTTCATGAAATGAAAGAGAGAATCAGTTTATCGTTTTTGTTCTTACAAGGGTGATAGAAAGCCCCTAACACTATGAATGCAGATGATTTGTAATGAAAAGAAAACTGTTCTTCCTTGAAGTATAAGAAAAAAAGAAAGGAAATAGCTTGTCATCTCTGATGGAAGGATTTTTTTCCCCAGTTTTTCATATTATTATCCTGTATTCTGTGAGTGCTGTTACCTTACACAGTTTTGTTCACGTCTACAATGTGTGACAGTGTTAGAAGAATAAAGACATACAGTTTGTACATGATTGTTGTTCCGTTTGTTCCCTAGCCTGTGTAGTTAGAGATCACCTTTACTGTAGATGAGTATGCAAATCGGATATGGACACTGTTTATCTTTATGCCCTGTTACTGCTATTACCATTACTATTATTGTTGTTGTTATGATGATGATAATAATCTCGTTGTGACTGTAACAGCACAACTGTGGCAGCTGCCACCTCCACCCCACCCCCCCCCCCCCTTCCCCCCCACCTGGTGCCAGGGCTTGCAGTGAAGCTTGCAGACAATGTCTGGGGCTGTCCATAGACTTGTGTGAGTTGTGGTAGAATTGTTGATGTGAAGTATTCCAAAGACGTTTTCCTGGATTTCAGTAAGGTGGGCCAGTCCACACAATACAATGTGTTTGTTTTCCTGGCCTGCAGCATTTGTTTCCTTCTCTATTATATCTGCATTTTGGTTTGAGCTACCACTGTGTGCTGGCTGGTCATGGCTGCGTTACTCCGACTTGTTCTTACTGCTTCTCTTTTATTTGATCTGATCTATGGTGTCTTTTTTCTGTTTGTGGTACTATACTTTTATTTCTCTGTTGTATATTTTTCATTCTATTTTTTTTCATGTGTATGAATTTCATATTAATGCCTGGTTCTTTTCAATCGTATATTCCTATTGAAAGTTGGTAGGCCTTAATGAAACAGCCTATAATTTAGGAAGCATTAAATTCAGAGTGCTCATACCACTTTTTTAATATGGCATTTTGTAAATGCGTACAGAACATATGTAATTGTTAGAGAGGTTATAAAGTAAACACATGATTGATAATATTGCCTCTGTTTCATAGAGACTTTTTGCTTCTCAGATTTCCGCTTTGAGTGTTAGGGAAGTGAAATCGTAGTTTTGCTAATCGTTGTAAACTTTAAAATATTTAGCTCTAGTTGGATTGGGCAGTGCCCTTTTCTGTCAACTTCTGATCGCTCTGCGTGCCTACAGATGCTGCACGTGTCAGTACAGTCAGGGTTGGAGAGAATGTTTCAGTGCTGACTTCTGAGTGAGTTTGATTGAAGGGAACTGACTTTGTAGTTGCGTGATCAGTGTTGGGAGACTTATTTGGAACCCGATTCCTATTCATATCTATAGCATCTTAGCTTGCTGTTGAATGAAGCAACCCAATGGTCAAACTATCTTCTGTGGTCTTTTCTGAGTCACATAACCTGACATTTGTATGAGTCAGGAGTTTCTGACCAGACGCGCCAAACTTGGGAATGATGAAAAAAGGGCACAGTGGACTTCTTTGAATACGAACTTAGATAAATTTTAAATAAAATATTCCCGTGACCGTAATAGATAGAGGAACGGAGAAGATGATTTTTACAAATAATTTATGTTATTTTTCTGCCCCACTTAAATTTTTCTGAAGCAAAGTCTAGTGTATCAACTTTGCTTGAAAGTATTAGATCTGAAGTATACTGCTTGGTTACTTTTTATACTAGTATATTTTTAATTTATATCCATAGTTTACACTGCTGTGAAGGAAATCTAGGACCTACGAACCCAGAGGTTAGCCTTTGAGATGATGATGTGTCACTCACTTCCTTAAAGAAATCCGTTATTTGCATTCAAGCAGCCATTTTTTTGTTCAGTGTGCACCGCTGTCTGAAGGTTGTCACACTGTTTGTTTACTTGCTCAGCTGCTCCCCGAAATGCGGTTTCTTTTTCAGAATGGTTTTACTGCTTTTTAACTTTGTACCATTTTTCTTTTGGCCTTTATTATTTATATGAATTTGTTTAATTTTGTGTTTGATTTTATTTTTACATTAATTCATCCATTTTATTTCTCTCCCCTCTTGTTTTGTATTATTTGAATAGAGTTGAAGTTTAAAGACAAATAAAGATGCAGTTTGATGTACAACATTTTATTTTGGTTATATTTTCTGAGTAGTTAATGAATGCTCTATTGTTATGTGCTCATTCTTTCCTTCCAAACATCAGTCATCTTTTATTTCTCTTCCTCCTTTTCTTTGTATGTTACCTACTAGTAACACGACTAATCTTTGGCACTCATATGACCTATTTGTGTTGCAAGTGCAATAAACCTCTTACTAAAACGTTTACTAAAACTTTAAAAAACTAAGTAAGGCTGGTCCCACTTTTTGTAGTGCTCGTTCAATGTGTAAAGATGCAAATTTGCTCAGGGCATGTTTTTGAGTATTAGCTTAGTGTCGTTTTAATTTTGTGAGGGGGGGGGGGGAGAGAGAAGCTCTCCAATAACAACTGAAATAACTGAAAGCTTGAAACGCTAGTAAAGGGTTGTCACTTGTGTGACTTTTGGCCTCACTATCTCTACAAAGTAAATGGTTGATTGTTTCCCTTACTCCACTAAGCTCCACATTTTTTTTTTCTTTTTAGTTTTTACCACTACTGTCCCTCCGTTCTTACGTCCTCTATCTTTTCTTAAAGGATTTCAGACGACAAACAATAATTTTACAAACCCATCAACATGTTTTACAAGTCGGGCTGCTTCGAGTAATGGCCCTGCTTGTCGGGCACACCCATGGCTGTTTGAGAAACATCCGGCCAGAAAGTGGTTGGAGAAAACAGTCGGAATTGTCTCTGAACCATTTGGGGGGAGAAAGGAGGCTGTCTAGACAGTTTGCCGTGAAAGTGCCATTATAATGTTATTGTAATAATAATTATAATCATTATAGATAGCATAATATTTTGTAGAGCGCAAATCCCTTGTCAACAGCAAGCTCTATGCGCTTCACGATCAAAGCTGGTATTATCCCTGTAGGCTTCTAAGCGCTCTGTAACAATCTCAACTTCCTGGGAAGCGTACAGTGAAGCGACCATAATTTATAGGCGCTGCATTCCCGCCTGGGTGAAGTGAGGAAAATTCGTGTACAGTGCTTTTCCCAAGGACGCAACGACGGGCACTCGGCTCGAACACCCAAACCCGCAACCTCACGATTACCAGTCCGGTAGCCTACCCACTGGACTACCAACGCTACTGAACAAAGGGGGTGGGGGTGGTTGAAAGGCTCTTTGCATAAATGATTAAGTCTTTGGTAAAGCAGGTTCCACAGTTGATGTACTCGATAAGACCGTAGAGGAAATCGAACTCACTTCTTTTGAACGCAATAGAAAGAGCCAAGCCATCACTGCACGGAGGATTATCTTGTCTTTCTTATGTTTTCACATTTTCCCGCTACTTCTTTTGTATGTTTGTCACTATCTTGTGAACTGCTATTTCCGCTGTGACTTGATAGCCGAAGCAGACTTAGTGCTGTTGGGGCTAGAGAGGTGAGCAGAGTAATATAAGCCTGATTCCCCGTTTGGACTTCTCTGTTGACATCCACCCCTTGGCGCGAGCGTCGTTAAACCTTACTAAAACAAACAAAAAACCCCATAAAATATGCCCTGGCTTGGGTGTAGCAGAATGTGCAACGACAGCTCGCGACCGTGAGTGATTTGGGGGGTGGAGGGTCATTACACGTGAACCTCTTAGTCAGAGATTACACCTTCAAGTTATCCAGGCATTGGTA